GGGGGTTCATGTTAATTAGGAGGCGTGGATTAGTATCCTAATTAGGAGGAGTGGATTTTTATGCTAATTAGGGGCGGGGCGTGAGGTTGGTCCTGCCTGCTGCTCCTCCCCTGCGCAGGGCCCAGTTCATCCCAGTTCATCCCAGTTCATCCCAGTTCATCCCAGTTCATCCCAGTTCCATCCTCCCTTCGTTTCCCTTTTTGTTTTTCCCAATTTTTTTTATAGATTTTTCGAGCCTATCTTCCCTTTCCATCCCATTTCATTCATTTCCCTGCCCATAAAACCCAGTTTGGCCCAGTTCCTCCCAGTCTCACCAGTTGCTTCCCTCACAGGTGCTGACACCATGGAGTACGAGCGCAGGTAAAAAAACTCGGGGGAATTCGGAAAAAAAAAAAAAAAATAAAATTCAAACTGGGAAACTCTTGATAACCTCCCCCCGTGAAATAAAACTTAATATTTTATGCGACAGCAAAGAGTTCAAGGGGAGGAGGGGACTTTGGGGATGGGGAAAAAAAACCATTAAGGGAAGGTGGGGGGGAGGGGGAACCATCAAAAATTTTGGGGGTCTCACCTGAGCCCCCCCCCCCCCGTGCAGGGGTGGCCGCGGGGATCGCACGGGGCGTTACGGGGGTGCCCCTCCCCCCTCCGAGGACGGATCCCGTGGCCAGCGTGACCACGACTATCGCGACATGGACTACCGTGGCTACGGGGGTCCTCCCGAGGGACCCCCCTCTGCCGGGACCCCCCCTCAGGTGAGGTTTTTTTTGGGGGGGGTCTCTCCTCAAAAGAGAGAGAGAAATCAAAGCGGGGAGAGGAGAATTTGTTGTGTTAAATTGTCGAGGTGAGACGCGATTTGGTTTTTTTTCTGCTCTTTTTCTGTTCTTTTTTTCAGTTCTTTTCTGTCCATTTTTTCTCCGTTTTTTTCCTTTCAAGGTGCTGAATCGAACAAAAACTTTTTGTTTTAATAAACAAAAGCCTGGTTTAAATCTCCGTTAAATTTTCCTACCCATTAATGGCTGCTTCAAAAAAACCTCAAAATATCCTTTAATTGTCCAAATTATCCTTTAAACGTCTAAAATATCCTTTATGTGTCCAAAATATTCTTTTTATATCCAAAATAATCCTTTATGTGTCCAAAATGTCCTTTAAACATCCAAAATATTCTTTTTATACCCAAAATAATCCTTTATGTGTCCAAAATATCCTTTATTTGTTCCAAAATATCGCTTATATATCCAAAATATCCTTTTTATATCCAAGATATCCAGTATGTGTCCAAAGTATTTTTTAAACATCCAAAGTATCCTTTATGTGTCTAAAATACCCTTTAACCATCCAAAATACCTTTTTTATATCCAAAACATCCTTTATGTGTCCGAAATATTTTTTTGCGTGTTCAAAATATTTTTTAAACATCCAAAATATCCTTTTTATATCCGAAATACCCTTTGTACATCCGAACCATCCTTTCAGCTTTTCCCCCGGCCCCACCCTCACAATTCCCCTCCCCTCCCCCCAGGCTTCCTACGAGCCCCCGGAGCCTCCCCGGAAGCGGGACCCCCCCCGGGATCCCCCCCGGGACCCCCCCCCGGCGCTGCCGTTCGGTGCCGATGGCGATTACCGGGACCAGGATTACCGCGAGGGCGGCGCCGACGACGAGCCCCGGGCCAGCACCATCGTCATGCTCAGGATGCTGCCCCAGGCGGCCACCGAGAACGACGTGAGCCACGCCCCCCGAGCCGGGACACGCCCCCTTTGCGTGGGTGACCACGCCCCTTTGCGTGGGTGATCGCGCCCCTTTTCATGGGTGACCACGCCCATTTGCATGGGTGACCACGCCCCCTTTGCATGGGGTGATCGCGCCCCTTTTCATGGATGACCACGCCCCCTTCATGGGGTAGCCCCGTCCTCCTGTTGGTGGCCACGCCCCTTTCCTGAGAGAGCCCCGCCCTCCTGTTTATGGCCACGCCCGCCTTTCCTGGGATGGCCACGCCCCCTTTACCTGGGATAGCCCCGCCCCCTGTTGGTGGTCACGCGCCAGCGAGAAGGATGTGAGCCACGCCCCCTGCCCCTGGACACGCCCCCTTTCCTGGGAGAGCCCCGCCCTCCTGTTTGTGGCCACGCCCCCTTTCCTGGGATGGTCGTCACTGTTCCCTTGTCCCCATGTCTGCTGTGTCGATGACGTCACTGTCCCCCGTCCCCAGTGACGTCACTGTTTCCTGTACCCCTGTCCCCGGTGACGTCACTGTCCCTGATGACGTCACTGTCCCCGTGTCCCCCCCAGATCCGGGCGCAGCTCCAGGCTCAGGGGGTTCAGCCCCGTGAGGTGCGGCTGATGCGCAACAAATCCTCAGGTGAGTCTTACCTGGGTCCCTCCTGCTCACCTGGGCCCCTCCCATCCACACCTGGGCCCCTCCCGTGCTCCCCTGGGCCCCTCCCCTGCTCCCCTGGGCCCCTCCCATCCACACCTGGGCCCCTCCCCTTCCCACCTGGGCTCCTTTGGGGTGGGGGCACCCTGACACACCTGGATCCCTTGGTGGGGGAGGGGATGGTGGCTCCCTGCCCATCCCCGGGGGCACCCAAGGGTGCTGGTTCTGTCCTTAGGGGGCACCCAGGGGTACCTGTCCCATCCCCGGGGGCACCCAGGGGTGCTGGTTCTGTCCTTAGGGGACACCCAGGGGTACCTGTCCTATCCCCGGGGGCACCCAGGGGTGCTGGTTCTGTCCTTAGGGGGGCACCCAAGGGTGCTATTCTCTTCCCTAGAGAGCACCCAGGGGTGCTGATCTCATCTTTAGGGACACCCAGGGGTGTCTGACCTGTCCCAAGGGGCACCCAGGGGTGCCTCTGCCAGACTCAGGGGGCACCCAGGGGTGCTGGTCCCATCCCCAGGGGCACCCAGGGGTGCTGGTTCTGTCCTTAGGGGGCACCCAGGGGTACCTGTTCCCTCCCTAGGGACACCCAGGGGTGTCTGTTCCCTTCTCAGAAGCACCCAGGGGTGCTTGTCCCATCTTTAGGGGCACCCAGGGGTGCCTGTCTCACACTTAGGGGCACCCAGGGGTGCCAGTTCCATGTCTAGGAGCACCCAGGGGTGCTGTGCTGGAACTGAGGCGCTCATCATTTCCCCAGGGGCACCCAGGGGTGCCGGTCTCTTCCCTAGGAGCACCCAGGGGTGCTGATAACATCCCCAGGGGTGTCTGTCACCTTCTCAGGAGCACCCAGGGGTGCTGGTCCCATCCTCAGGGGCACCCAGGGGTGCTAGTCCCGTCCAAGGAGCACCCAGGGGTGCTTGTCCTGTTCCCCAGGGACACCCAGGGGTGTCTGTCCCCTCCTCAGGAGCACCCAGGGGTGCTTGTCTCCTCCCTAGGGGCACCCAGGGGTGCCTCTGCCAGACTCAGGGGGCACCCAGGGGTGCTGATCCCATCCCTAGGGGCACCCAGGGGTGCCGAGTCTCTTCCCTAGGAGCACCCAGGGGTGCTGGTAACATCCCACAGGGCACCCAGGGGTGCCTGTCCATTCCCTAGGAGCACCCAGGGGTGCTGATCCCATCTTTAGGGGCACCCAGGGGTGCCTGTCCCATCTTTAGGAACAGTCAGGAGTGTCTGTCCTTTCCACTGGGGCACCCAGGGGTGCCTGTCCCTTCTCTAGGAGCACCCAGGGGTGCTGGTCCCAATCTTTAGGGGCACCCAGGGGTGCCTGTCCATTCCCTAGGAGCACCCAGGGGTGCTGGTCCCAATCTTTAGGGGCACCCAGGGGTGCGTGTCCCCTCCTCAGGAGCACCCAGGACTGCCTGTCCCCTCCCTAGGGGCACCCAGGGGTGCCAGTCTCTTCCCTAGGAGCACCCAGGGGTGCTGGTCCTCTCCCAAGGGGCACCCAGAGGTGCTTGTTCCCTTCTCAGGAGCACCCAGGGGTGCTGTGCCAGGCTTAGGGAGCACCCAGGGGTGCTGCACCAGATTTGGGGGGCACCCAGGGGTGCCAGATTCAAAGCCAGGGCTGCTGGCCCTGTCCCCAGGGGGCACCCAGGGGTGCTAGCCCTGTCCCCAGGCCACACCCAAACTCTCGAGGGGGCACCAGGAACACCTGCGGAGGGGGGGGAGGGGGTGTTCACCTGTAGGGTTCCCCCAGGGGGTCCCATCCCCACCCCAGGGGGTCCCAGCCCCACCCATGGGTGCCCCCCACCCCCGGCCCGTTCCAGGTCAGAGCCGAGGATTCGCCTTCGTGGAATTCCATCACGTGCAGGAGGCGGCCAGGTGGATGGAGGCCAACCAGGTGGGGGAGGGGCCAAAAGGAAGGGGGAGGGGCTGGGCGAGAAGGGGCGGGGCCAACAAGAAAGGGGAGGGGCAACCAGGTGGGGGCGGGGCCAAGACAGAAGGGGAGGGGGCAAATGGGAGGG